AATAATTATGCTATCATAAAATATAATTAGTGCAACATTGTGGTATATGATGTGCTCCTCATTTTTCCACAGCGTCTCTTCATTGAGGTACATACGTCAGTTATTTGAAATTGGAACTGTTTCTAATATTGTTATAAATATAAATGAATTTTCGTTCTTTCATCATCATCATCAACAGCCTATAAATGCCCACTGCTGAGCAAAGCCTCTTCTCACACGGAGAAGGTTTGAGCATTAATCACCACGCTTGCTCAATGCGCGTTGGCGATTTCAAACTTATAATTAGAAATTATAAGTCCAGGTTCCCTCAAGATGTTTTTTCTTCACCGTTTGTCAGTGGTGTCTTAATAATATTAGAAAGTACATATACCTCGGAAAAAGTCACATTGGTACCGGTGCCGGTTCCGAACCCGCACACTCATGCATGAGAAGCGGGCGTCTTAACAGGCCCCTCTTCCCCACTGGGCACTATGGGCACGTGCCCAGGGTCCCGCGATCGAATGGGGCCCTGCCAGATTACCAAATGATAACCGATATTTACGTATAGTCGAAAAACATTAATTTTGGAAAATCTAATGATAATGACTTACTGCAAAAGCTACGCTTATTAGCTTTAGTAGTTTAAAGACGTCCCTGCGTCTTAAAACTCCGGGCCACCACGACATGACACGACATTTCGTTCTTTAGTCTCGCTAAAACTCGAGGACGGCTGAACCGATTTGGCTAATTTTGGTCTTAACTCGTCGAGTACCGGTTTTGTAGACACAATTATAGAACAATAGGTTGCGGTCACCGGTGACCGCTTGGTGTTTGACAGTTTAAAATGTCGTGGAAGGCCATAGGTTTAAAAGATTAGAAAAAATTTGAGGCGCTACAAATTTTGCCGGGACAGATAATCTGTTATGCTTACTTATATAAGGAAGATATCTACTTATGTATATCTTTTATTTTTTATCTACGAATTTCATTTATCTATAATTCCATTAAATGGTTGGAGTGTAGCAAAGGGTGTGCAAGGGAATTGGGACTTAGAAAATTTATAATCAAAAATGTCATTTTTTATAAATGGCTAGTTTTTCATTTCCATTTAATTACACCTACACAACTGTTTAACGAGATTACTCGACTAGTTTCAAGACGAACTCTGGGTCTACAATCATGAGCAGCATGCTCAACTATGGTTTCCATTTACGAAACTAAGACTGATTTGCAGAGTAGGTCTGTACTTAAAAGATGTGACTGAGTTTGTTTACGTCTTGAATCAATAGTAGTGGGAAATTAAAGGAATAATACTAATAGATTGTGTACTATCTATTTGAATGCATAATGTTGTTGAAGTAATTGACAATTTATAAGAATTATTGTAACAAATAAACCGATAAATTGTTATTTGTGGAAGGATTGCTGGATGAGATGTTTTTATTTGCC